TTTTTGTCGACTTAATTTTCAGTTTCGTCGACTTATTTTTAACAGTTGACTTATATTTCGTTTGATTGACATTTTAAATTATCGACTTATTTAAACCACTGACTTACTTTTGTAATTCGTCGACTTAAATATTTTTTTGATCGATTTATTTTAAACTATCGATTTATATATTGGTTGATTGACTTTTTACTTTGTCGGRTTATTTAAACCATTMACTTAATTTTTATGTTCATCGARTTGACAWACTATTATATATGACAAAAWTTTTATTAGATTATTAGATAGATGATATTTTAATTTTACATATTATAAATCAATTTTAAATAAAAATTAAAAAAATCAAATCATTTTTGTTTTCTACCTTAATATTGTTAAGTAAGGATAGAACCGTCATTTCAACCCTTAAAATAGGGTACTTTTCAAAGTATAACAAATTTGGTATAGATTTCAAATTTTCAATAAGATTTAGGGTATACAAGCCAATTTTTTCTATAGTCTTTACGTACGAACCGTCATTTATTATATTTTTTTTATTTGGCAAGAAACCGTCACTAACAGAATGCATACACCCGTAATACTAAACTAGATTTAAATACCCAACTTTGATATTATTTTATTTTAAATGAAGTATACCAATATATATATATTTTTTAAAACATACCAAGATTTTTCTTTATTAAGTTCGTTTAAAATTATTGATATTTTGTATATATTTTAATTTGATGGATGGAAATCCTTTTTCATGAAGTTTCAAAGAAAAAAAAAATCCTTTTCATGAATCATAACTTATATTTTAGTAGTATACTAAACATCCAACTTATATATATATATAGAGAGAGAGAGAGAACATGCGTTTGATCAATTTTAAACACAAGAAATCTATTTATAATGTTGATTAGTATTTTTTTTTTTCTACTTCATGCATAATATATTTGGATTTCTTACAAACTCATATAAACAAATGTAAATATGCTCTTCTTATATGGTAGATGTAAACTCATTTTTTAATATTTTGATTTTAAAAATGAGTAACTTAATGTTTAGATTTTCACAATTTTTGCATAATAAGATGATTGAAAAGGTATTTGGATCATCAATTAATATTGATAAATATTTTTGTTTAAACTAAAAGGAAATTAAATAAGATATTGAAGAACCTGAAGAAGAGAATTGGCGGAGTAACTGTTGGCTCCATCTCCGCCACTCATACGTAAAGCTTTCACAAACGCATATTCATCTTCACTCTTATCATCATTATAGCTGCATCGCGATACACAAATATTGTTCAAGATATATAAAGTAACATGCATATGTATATACACATATATGTAACTGAATCAAAGCATAATTAAGTGTATATGTGTTGTAATAATGAATTGGAAAGAAAGAACCTCAAGGAAGGACTGGTGTCGATGAATCTTGAATCCATTATTTTTTATCGTACTTATTAATGATTAGATTCAAGGAGAATTATTAGAAAATGTTGTGTATTGAAGATGCACCCCCCCTCCAAACACTTCAATTTATAGATGGAACTTAATCAAGTAGCACATTCAAAAAGATCATGAGACACGCCAAAGTGTACTAGTTTCGAATCTTTTTATTTGTTTT